AATCCATATAAATATATTTAAAAAATAATAATAAAAATAAAAATTACAAAAAAAAACACACAACTAAATTGCCGAAACTTAAAAATTAGAATGTAAACAGGAAATACTGTATATAAGAACATAAACTAATTCAAAATATATGTGAAAACTGTAATAATATGTCAATGGTATTAAAATAACACTGGTTGAAACACAAAATGTCCAGTAGAAACATATTTTCATTTTTAGATTCTCTTGAGCTTGATGACAATATCTATCAAAGTTTTGTCTGATTTTACAGTTCTCTTATCAGGTCAATAATTGTGCAAATGTTTTCCTCTGTAACTGTGTGGATACTTAAATGAATGCTGTATTGTAGGGCATTCTGGGTAGTGTTTACCGTTTGATAATGTAATGGACTTCGCTCTATTATACTTTACTCTGGTGTGAATTAGAGCTTAATGATTAACATGTATAAGAAGTCACATACAATGATTAGTTTCACATGCCAACCCTCTACGCACACCTTGGCAATATAATCGCCATTGGCTAGTACATTTTTTTGTTTACTCGCCAGACTGATATACTATTTTACACACACACACACACACACACGTTTACTTAGCTATCTAAATGGGGACATTACATAGACTATTGTTTCTATATACAGATAGTTATACTACACTTTTTAACCTAAACCCACCCCTACCCCTCACAGAAAACGTTCTGCATTTTTACAGTTTCAAAAGTAAAAAAAAACTTTGTTTACTTTATTTTTATAACAGTTTTACAAATGAGGACATCCACAGGTTTTTGTCGATTTTGTCAGGTTTTGCTCACTTTTGGGTACAAATTTGTCCCCAAAATATGGTTAAGTAGGTACACACAAACACACACACACACATACACACACACACACATATGATTCCACCCAATCAGCTTATCTTTGTAAAATGGAACAGCTTCTTAAATAACTGAATGTGCACTCTTAACTTCAGCCAATCAAGCATAATAGTATGATATTATGATAATTAAGCACTATTTAATGATAGAACTAGTAGTGCTGGGTGGTATGACCAAAAATTGATATCACGGTATTTTTCAAAATTATACTGGTTTCGGTGGTGTTTAAGATATTGTTGGTCATAGGTAATAGTAATTATTTTCATGTTCATGAATATTAATCACGTTGTCAGCATTCGCTCGAACTGATTGCTGAAATCAAAACAGGGACGGTAATAGATGAGCTAAAACGTTTGGAGCATTTTTTTGTTCGTTAAATGTAAGTTTTTGTTTTTTTAAGGTAACGACCAAGCGGCCAGCGGCAATTGAGCGCATCCAAATAGTACAGATCGCTTGACGGAGAGCGAAACTCTCAAGCGCTCAGTTAGCGTGTTTATCGAGTGAAAATCTGTGTTGAACGCCTCTCACACACATACTGGCGTGTAAAATCTAAGAATTTATTAACCAATGGCTAATGTTAGACATTATTTAGTCGCCCAGAGTAAGATTTAGTCGCATATGCGAGTGATTTACTCGCAATGTAGAGGGTTGCATGCAGAGATGTAGAGAAACAGAGCATGTATGTATGTGTAGAGTGCAGAGGGAGGTAAAGAGAGATATGCATGGAGACGGAGGAAGGGATGTGTGGTATATTGTTGTCTGTGATTAATGAGCTCTCAAGGGAGCAGTTTTAGTTTGGCCCCTCAGTGATGCCAAATGCTTTAGTTCAGAATCATCAGTTCTTCATACAAAACCTTCTTGAAATGACAAACAGGAAACAAATCTAAAGCTTTTTCACAAAGTTCAGTTACAGTGTGTTATACTGTGATACAGTTACTGTAACAAACAAGTTTGGAGTCAGATTTTTTAATGTTTTTGAAAGAAGTCTCTTCTGCTCACCAAGGCTGCATTTATTTAATAAAAATACAGTAAACAGTAATATTGTGAAATAATATTACAATTTAAAATAACTGTTCAATAACTGTTGAATTTGAATATTGTTTTAAAATTTATTCCTGTGATGCGAAGCTGAATTTTCAGCATCATTACTCCTTCAGTCTTCTGTGTCACATGATCCTTCAGAAATCATTCTAATAATATGATTTTCTGCTGAAGAAACATTATTATTATCATATTGAAGTCAGTTAATGTTTTTGTGGAAACTGGTACATTTGACTGATTTAATGCATTGTTGCTGAATAAAAGTTTTAATAAAAAAAAAAAAAAGCACTGACTTCATATTTTTGAACAGTAGTGTAAATAGTACATATTTCTGAACATTATAAATATTAATATTCATTAATATTAATATCAGTTGCTTGTAGAGCTGAACTATCAGCTTCATAAATGTTTGAAGTTATTTATTGACATCACATTGAACTATCAACTTCATAAACTGAGTTTTGTTTAGTTTTGTTAAGCTGGACTGTGTTTGTTTGGTTGTGTTTAAATAAGCTTTGAATTGTTGTTTGAATTTGAAGAGTTGAGATGAGTTGAACTGTGGCATTTTGAGTTGATTTAGTAGTGTTTAAAAGATTGAAACAAGCACATGAAATTAATCTCTCTACATTGAACAAATATCAACTCATGTCAACACAAACTCAGCAGTAGTGAACAAGGAAAAAGGGTTGTGAGCTTGCAGAATTAACTCAATGTGAATTATTTCACAGTATAACAGGTGACAATACATGTTTAATGCTCTTCACAGAGCATGAGCACACATACACAAGTGGTCTGAACATGATCATTATTAAAAAAACATTTTATAAAACAGTACAAAGAATGCGTTTCTCATCTGTTTGTTAAAATCACCTTCTCTATTTTTTTGTCCAACAACAAGGCTCTCTCTGCTCTCTCTCTTGTCCTCTGCTCCCCCACTCTCGTTCCCGTCAGTCAATCTTGCAGCCGTTATCAGCACTGGCCTGACAGATTTAACGCAGGAGGATGGAAACATCTGGATCTTATTTAGTAAAATCATCCCTCTCCGTTTCTCTCTGCCCTGTTGGCACACTCATAAAACTATCCGAGCAGAGACCCCAACCGCTGCACCTCCAAACATTACGGCAGTGCTGGTTTTTCCTTGCAGAGCAGAATTTTCATCACCCCTTTTTTTATATATAGAAAAAATACATTTTTGGATTTTTATACTTAAAAAGTTAAGCACAGTTGCGATCACTCAAATGGCTTAAGGGAAGTGATTGCTTTGACTCTTGGTTTATATCTGGTGTAAACATACACCGACAGACTTATAAATAGATCAGTCTGAGTAAACTCACATCCACAGAATTGAACCATGACATTTCACAGGTGGATCAAACCTGTTCATTGGTCACAATGACAAGTTGTTTTGGGATATTTTGTGAGTCAGAATTGGGTTGGCTTTCTGCAAATGGTGCCGTCTAGGTCGGGATATCCACTGGGGCGGGATGTGAACCCTCTCCGGCTGTGGGAGGCTGATGGACCAGAGAGTTTTCCCAACACTAACACTGGAATTCTTCACATTCCGTCTTCGTTAGTGGCCTAATCTATCAAAGAGAGAGAGAGAGGGGTTTAGTGTGGGTCTCTACCTACTCGACTACACCGCCACCTGACCTTGGGCTGATTCCCCTCATCCTCTCCATCCTTTGCTGCCTTGCCTTGCTTTCTTTGTGTAATTTGTATATCTGTACCTGTTGTTGAAACTTGGACTTCAGTGATTGCATACATTCTTCAATTACATTTATGCATTTAGCAGGACTTTTTATACAAAGCAACTTGCAAAAGAGGAATAAAACTACTTTGTAATTTCAGTATCAGGATTTTAGGTTGTAATATGGTTGTATAAGGGAAAGTGTGTGTGTGTGTGTGTTAGTAATATATATATTATGTGGTGTATGATTTTTCGGTTTTCAGTTTTTAATCTTCTCTTCATTCTTCAATCATCCCTTCAGTCTTCATTTAAAAAGACCTGCAGTGTAACAAATCAGGACTCAAAATACATGTTCTTTTTTCTGCAGGCCTTGAGGGAAAAAATGCTATTTATTTATTGCATATATTGCAAAATATACAGCATGTTATTTACATTTACACCTAAGGAAAATAATACAACATTTGTATTTGTATTTTCATTAGTTTTTTATTTAATTGTTATTCATATTCATTTTCTTCTTTTTTTACAATAATAATGTTAAAATACATTAAATAAAAAAAATCAAATACAAAATTATTAATACAAATATTATATGGTTTGTTAAAGTTAAATAAATTTCATATGGGTTCATAATGTGCAATAATAGCTATAAATTATGCAAGGTATCATTTTTGACAAGTGCTTGTATTTGGTGTTGAATCTATTGCACAACTTGATAGACAACAAGTCATGTTCTGAAAATTATGTATATTATATATTTGTTGTATTTTTATTTTTTACCCAAAAAGCATGCACATACCCTTTTTTACATTTATTATACAATGCATAAAGAGAAAGATTATGCAAGAGATTATGCAAGAAAAGGTGCTTTATTTGGCTTGAGTGTGCAGGGTCAGTTGGCCTGGGTGAGAGTGACCTATTGCAGGTGTTGCAATGGAGTGATTACAGCAATGGGTCATGTGGTGGAGATTTGGTAAAGAGGTGGAGAAGGGGGCAGATGCATATAGAGGTATGGATGGGAGGATAGAGAAAAGCTATTTTCATGCACAATAAAAGAAAACTTTCTTCGTAAGTGACCTTCCTTTTGGAGTTTTTACCATTTGTATCGTGTCTATAACCTCCAAGACATTTATGTTTCCATGGACCTCATCTGTGATCCCTAGTTTGACCGTATGTCATCAGTCTGGCTGTTAAACAAGCAAACAAATGATCAGAAGTGTTGCAGGCAACACAAAACTGTCTGCTTCTTTTGTTGGAGTCTGAATGAGAGATGTTGTGAAACTGTTATTTTATCACTGTAGAAACGGTGCGTAGGAACACGATACTCATCCTCCTTTCTCACTCTCTTCTTCTACCTTTCTCTGTCTCTCTCCCTCTACTTCCATTGCAGGTCATGATATTAACAGCTCTTTGGAGCCAACAAACTTTGACACAAGTATCCTGGAGGAATACATCAGCAAAGAGGACGACAGCACTGACATGTGAGAATCTGGAAACAGCTTGTACCACTCAGTACACCAAATTTCTTCTGGTGATGTGCTTATTTTGATGATAATAAATCAAATCGGCTATCAGATGGTGATTTGTTTTTTAGTTGTTTCACAGAGGTCCACAGCACCCCGGGACCCCAGTATCCCTCGCCCCAGGCCGGGGCATCCTCTTCAGGGGGGGTAGGGTGTGGCGTGAGCCCCCCCATCCCCCTGCGCCAGGGCGCCGTCCCGTCTCTGCCCCAGCCCTTTCAGAACCCCTACCCGCCTCCACCGCCGCTGGGCCACCTCAGACACAACTACTCCTGCCTGGGGCAACAGCAAAGCCAAACACCCCAACACCAACAGCCACACGTCAAACCAGACCACCGCGGACAGTACGCACCGGGGTAAGAGAAACCGCATAGAGACCACATAAGGAGCAAATATGGCGAAATATGTCAACAGATGGATTTTTTCTATACTATGTATATACTATATATATAGTAGGGTTGTGATGGTGAGGAAATTTTCCCACCGGTTAATTGACGTGTGACAACACCGGTAATACGGTATCACCGTGGGGGCGGGGCGTTCCCTCTTTTCCTCGCTTTCCTTCGCTTTTAAATAGTTGTCCTTTGATTAATAGACATCACAGCAGCTGGTTATTTTGGGTGCGGTTTCTTTAAGAGCTGCCGCTGCTGAACGTGATCCGGATCTGACACGCATCATATTTTCTCTCAACTTTTTATAACTTTTTACCTTTTCTGACCCACTTCAGGTCTTAAAGTCTCAATTAATGAGCTGACTAATTAAATCGGGTGTGTTAGATGAGTGAGACAGTGCTGGGCTGCTCATTATTCACACTCATGCGCGGTGTTTATATATATATATATATATATATATATATATATATAATTTTTTTGAGCATTTTGCTGTATTTTTGCTCTTATGGCCACATGATCTAATGAGAAAAATCATAATTATTTAATGGGGTGGCGATTTTGTATGAATTTATACAATGTTATTTGAATGGAAACATACAGATGTTTAGAAAAAAAGAAAGGCATGAAGGTCTACCCCTAAACCTAAGCAGATTGTATGAAAACGTACAAATTCATAGAATAATTTTATATATATTATTTTACAACAAATTTTCATGATGTTATTCCAAGTAATTAAAGTAAATAAAAACTACAAGTATTTATTATTATTATTAATTATTTCATTTTATTTTATTTTAACATTTCAATTTAGATTAGCGTTAGATTGTTTAAAATATTAATAATGATTTATTTATTTATTTATTTATATAATTTTAATTCATCCTGCAGACGGATTGGAAGTTTGCTGAAGGCTCTGAGAAAGAGGCCGCAAAAACATAAAAATTCATATGTATTAGACACCAATTCACAATAGCATAAAATAGTTATAAATTGTCAAGGGCACAATAGCACATTTTCATCAAAATAAGAATCATAGTACAGTATATCAAATTTGAGTGGAATAGTTTCAAACAGATCATGAAAAAACATTTTCAATTCTTATGAATTAGTACACTTTGATTTGTATATAAAGTGTATGATTTTTGGAAAAAGCGTAAGCATGAACATCCACCCTTAAATCTAACCATCAGTGGGGCATAAGTGGATCATATGAAAAGATACAAATTCATACAAATTAGCCACCAATTCACAATAACGTAAAATAGTTACAAATTGCCGTGAACAGAACAAATTGCAGTTTCAGAATCATAGTACGTCAAATCTGAGTGACATTTCACAGGACTGGTCACGAAAGTAATGCGAAACGTAACTATTTTTCAAGGTGGTAATTTTGTATGAATTTGTAGGATGTGATTTGTACGGTACTTAAGCGCATGATATTAAAAAAAAAGTATGTTCACCCCTAAACCTATTTGGCAGTGGGCCGTAAGCAGATTGTACAAAAATCTACGAATTCATACGAGTTAGCCACTAATTTGCGATAATGTAAAATAGTTACGAATCACTATGAGCTTGTGTTGATACATTCAATATACGCAATAATGCAGTTTCATCACAATTTCAGAATCATAGTACGTCAAATAGTAAGCCACACTCCTTTGATATGCCCCGCCTCTTCATTCCATATGACCTCAGATAACCCTCCGGAGCTCAGATAAAGGCTGAGTAAAACAGACGGAGGAGTGAACTGGGAATAACACTGAGACACAGCGGGTCAGGCCTGATAACCTATGAGTAGTTTTGCAATCACTAATGCTGTTTTATAATGTTGACCAAAAGGAGGCAGCAGGTATGCTGTTAGTGAGCTTTCTGATGGGTTTCTAACTAAAACATGAGTCTTGTTGAGGAGAGCTGTACTGTTACTAAGTGATCAAATGAAGAGTTTGGCTCCAAAACACGATAAACGCCTTTTTTTTTTTTTTTTTGAGTTTCCGCCAAAATCAGTATTGTATCTGGTCGGTATTGAAAAGTCCATTTTTAATTTTACGCAAAATGCGATATCTGCCGTGTTATAGGCCTTTATCACAGTCCGCGTGTCGTCACATCCGGCTCCGATCAAATGACAGTAGTTTATCAGTAATCCTAAAAATAACAACTTATTTACACATAGTAAGAAATGGTTATAAAAACTGAAACAGAAGCGAAACAAGTAGTAGGAAAGAGGAAAAATAAAAAGCGATACTTATTATAAGCGATATTATTATATTATAAGCGATACTTACTTACGATTAGTAGCGTAAAGGAATCTCGGCCTGCTTTATTGTCAATGGACAGACGCCAGTTTTGTGAAGAAAATTAAACTAATTTAGTTTAGTTGAACATTGACGCAATAAACGTCAATGTTAAAACTGCGTATTTATACTGATTCCATACCATGTATCATGTCATCCTTCATTTTAATGTGCAACATTAGCCTATCTGAGCGACGCGACTGTCGGCGCTGCCAGTGTTGCCAGTCAGATTAATGAAGAGCACGCAGCTCAATTAACTGCCAGAGGAATACTCAGACTGATTTAATTTTATTTTTAATATGATTTTGTTTATTTTTGCATTATATTTATTGCGATTAATCTCCCGTTCTTTTTCACAGTGTAATGACATTCAATCGTTGCACGCAATCACGGAGAATATAACTCGATTAAGATGATCAAACTTATTTTTAATTATCGTCTATGGTCTGGAAATATTTCTTTATTTTAACAACTTCAATTTGATGCAATTGAGATTGCATAATAAAATCAGCGCGTTAAAAAAATTTGAGCATTATGTTTAATACAACAAATTTGCCCTAAACCTTTAAATTAATCCTTCTATACAGCCTTTAGTCATAATTAATGTTTTAAGCGTTGGCAAATTCTAATGCTTATTAATGTGATATGTTGTTTGTATAGTTTTCTCGCTGTTCTGAAATGAAATAAGGTGATCAGACTGTGAAGAATTGCCTATACACATACAGTATGGCTCGCGCACACTCCTGTTTAAGTCACTAAACACGCATCGGGATATCGTGACAACATATTCCTTAGTTTCATAATACTCAATTAATTGATGTAAACTGAAATTGGTGTCTTTAGAAGACGTGTATGTGCTGAATTCTACATAAATAATCCACAACAATGCCGTGCTATGGGCACAGCCATTGATAGAGGCTGCAGCGGAAGTTCTTTTACGCTACTATTTGAATCTTCTGCTTTTCAAACTCGGAAGTGTGATAAAGGCCTATTCTGTCATGTTTTCTCCCTATATTTCCAAACCGCGACAAACGCCAGTCTCCCTTCTCTGCAGAATGCGATACATCCGCTCAACCAATCACAGCGCACCATTCCACGCATTGTAAAGAGTAACTGACAAGCTACACAGATGAATCGCCTTCGATTGTGAATGCGATATTGCGTAGCTTGTCAGTGATCTACGGCTCTGTGTATTAAATGCCGCTCCATCTGAAAGCAGGTGATGGAGATTTACTACTAATCACAGAACCAGCTTAACTGACGAGATGCGCTTGACAATCACATGCAATTTATTGTGCAGCCCTAAAAAAAATTATAATTTTTACGGCATTGATGAACCTGTGGTGGTTTCTGCGGTGGGGAAGAAACGTAAGCTATTAATAAGATTAGTATTGACCAAGTTCAGGGGCTGTCATATGTGGATCAACTTACTTTGTTGTGTATTTACAACAGTTTC